CCTGTGTTGGATAAATGAGAGCACATGCTAAAGCAGAAAATGATTATCAATTTTAAATTGCCTTTTAAATTCAGAATCCTGGTAATATGTGAGGTGTGATAAAACTACACAATGGGCCAGCGCTGTGGCGTAGTGGGCTAAGCCTCTGCCTGCAGTGCCGACATCCCATATGGGTGCCGGTTCTAGTCCTGGCTGCTCCTCTTCCAATCCAGCTCTCTGCTATGGCCTGGGAAAGCAGTAGAAGATGGCCCAAGTCCTTGGGCTCCTGCACTCGTGTGGGAGACTTGGAAGAAGCTCCTGGCTCCTGGCTTCGGATCGGCACAGTTCCAGCTATTGCAGCCAACTGGGGAGTGAACCAGTGGACTGAAGATCTCTCTCTGCCTCTCCTCTCTCTGTGTAAATCTGACTTTCAAATAAATAAATATATATATATATATTTTTTTTTTTTTTTGACAGGCAGAGTGGACAGTGAGAGAGAGAGACAGAGAGAAAGGTCTTCCTTTGCCAATTGGTTCACCTTCCAATGGCCGCCACAGCCGGCGCGCTGCGGCCGGCGCACCGCACTGATCCGATGGCAGGAGCCAGGAGCCAGGTGCTTTTCCTGGTCTCCCATGGGGTGCAGGGCCCAAGCACCTGGGCCATCCTCCACTGCACTCCCTGGCCACAGCAGAGAGCTGGCCTGGAAGAGGGGCAACCGGGACAGAATCTGGCACCCCAACCGGGACTAGAACCCGGTGTGCCAGCGCCGCTAGGTGGAGGATTAGCCTAGTGAGCCGCGGCGCCGGCCATAAATAAATATATATTTTTAAAAAAGTTACATGGTGCCTCCTGAAACTAAGATTCATGGTTCATTTTTTCCCATCTTCCAAGAAAGATTCCAGTCAGAAAACTAGAATTTCCTTGGGGCCGCTGCTGTGGCACAGTGGGTCAATGCCCTGGCCTGAGGCGCTGGCATTCCATATGGGTGCTGGTTCGAGTCCCGGCTGCTCCTCTTCCGATCCAGCTCTCTGCTATGGTCTGGGATAGCAGTGGAGGATGGCCCAGGTCCTTGGGCCCCTGCACCCATGTGGAGACATGGAAGAAGCTCCTGGCTCCTGATCGGCACAGCTCTGGCTGTTGCAGCCCTCTGGGGAGTGAACCATCAGATGGAAGACCTCTATCTTTCTATCTCTCTCTCTCTCTCCCTGCCTCTCCTTCTCTCTCTGCATAACTCTGACTTTCAAAGAAAATAAAAAATCTTTAAAAAAAAAAAAAAAAAAAGAGGCCGGCGCCGCGGCTCACTAAGCTAATCCTCCGCCTTGCGGCGCCGGCACACCGGGTTCTAGTCCGGGTCAGGCGCCGGATTCTGTCCCGGTTTCCCCCTCTTCCAGGCCAGCTCTCTGCTGTGGCCCGGGAGGGCAGTGGAGGATGGCCCAAGTGCTTGGGCCCTGCACCCCATGGGAAACCAGGAGAAGCACCTGGCTCCTGCCATCGGATCAGCGCGGTGCGCCGGTCGCAGCACACTGGCCGCGGTGGCCATTGGAGGGTGAACCAACGGCAAAGGAAGACCTTTCTCTCTGTCTCTCTCTCTCACTCTGCCTGTCAAAAAAATTAAAATTAAAATTAAAAAAAAAAAACTAGAAGTTCCTTTTTCTCTTCAATGAAAGGCAGAATCTATTAGTGAAACTAATAAATATTTTAGATTTTTGTTTAGGCAAAGACCAATTTATCATGAAAGTTGTTCAGAAGCAATAAGTGTGATACTAGAGCTGCATGTGTAAGCTTGATGTTTTAGGATCAGAAACCAAGTGAAGGGGCTGGCGCTGTAGTGTGCTAGGGCAAGCTGTCACTTGCTATGCCAGCATCCCATTCTGGAGCACTGGTTCGAGATCCAGCTGCTTCGCTTCTAATTCAGCTCCTTACTGATGCACCTGGGAAGGCAGCAGAAGATGGCCCACGTGCTTAGGCACCTGTCGCTCATATGGGAGACCTGGATGGAGTTCTCAGCTCCAGGCTTCAACCTGGCCCACCTATGACTGCTGCAGCCATTTGGGGAGTGAACCAGCAGTCGTTAGATATCTAAGATCACCCTCCCCACCTCTCTCTCTTTCCTCTCTCCCCTTTCAAATAAATAATCAAATAAATCTTAAAAAAAAAAAGTGAAAAATATGCTGTGCTTTAACTTATATAGTTTTTGTATTTTTACTCTTCTCAACACCATAATAAGGCCTCAAATTCCTTCCTCAGCCAACTCAAATAGCTCATAGACACATTAGGAATAACAATAGGTTTGGCATAACAGTTAACCAGCTGCCTGGGCAGGGCCAGTATTGTGACATTAAGCCACTAATTGCAACACCAGCCTCCCATATGGGAGAGCCAGTTGGAGTCCTGCTTCTGATCTAGCTCTCTGCTAATGTGCCTAGGAAAGCAATGGAAGATGGCCCCAAAACTAGGGCTCCTGTCACCCACTTTGGAGACCTGAAAGCAGTTCCAGGCTCCCGGCTTCTGTCTGCCCACCCTTAGCAGTTGGAACAGCAGATGGAAGCAGTTGACAGCTCAAGTACTTGGTCCTTGCTACCCATCAGCCTAGTGCATCCCTATCTTTTGTGGGCATCTGGGAAATGAACCAGCAGCTGTAGTATCTTTCTCTGTTTCTCTGCCTTTCAAATAAAATGAAAATAAAAAGATGTTTTTTTAAAAAGGGTAATTTTTAACACAAGTACAGGCCTTTCAGCTAGCAGGTTTTTTTTTTTTTTTTTTAAGATTTTATTTATTTTATTTGAAAGTTAGAGCTACAGACAGTGAGAGGGAGAGACAGAGAGAAAGGTTTTCCTTCCGTTGGTTCACTCTCCAGATGGCCGCAACGGCCAGAACTGTGCCGATCCGAAGCCAGGACCCAGGTGCTTCCTCCTTGTCTCCCATGTGGGTGCAGGGGCCCAAGGACTTGGGCCATCCTCTATTCCTTTCCCAGGCCATAGCAGAGAGCTGGATTGGAAGAGGAACAGCTGGGACTAGAACCAGCGCCCATATGGGATGCCGGCACTGCAGGTGGAGGATTAACCCACTGTGCCACGGCGCCGGCCCCTCAGCTAGCAGTTAAGACACATGCATTCCATATCCATATGGGGGTGCCTGGGTTTGATTCTCAAATCAAACCCCAAATCCCAAATCCAGCTTCCTGCCAATGCAGATCCTGGGAGGCAGCAATGATGGTGAAAGTAATTGGGTTCCTTCAACTCACAAGGAGGAAGTGGACTGAGTTTCTCACTCCCAGCTTTGGCCCCAGCAGGGGGCTTTGGCAGGCATTTAGAGTCCATCAGCAGATGGAGAGCTCTCTCCTGCTGTCTCTCTGCCTCTCAAATAAACAAACTTTAAAAAAGAATGAATATAATGCTATAAAAACAACTCTAGGGAGCCAGTGTTGCAGCAATGAGGTTTAAGCCCACTGCCTGAAAGGCTGCCATCCCAAATGGGCACCGGTTTGAGTACCTGCTATTCCCCTTCTGCTCCCACTCCCTGCTAATGAGCCCGGGGAAGCAGCGAAAGATGGCCCAAGTGCTTGAGCCCCTGCCACCTATGTGGGAGACCCCGACAGAGTCCCAGGGTCCTGGCTTTGGTCATCTGGGGAGCAAACCAGCGGATGGATGGCAATCAAGATTCTTAAAAATTAAGAAGAGGGGCCAATGCTGTGATGCAGCAAGTTAAACTCCCAGCCTGCAGCGCCAGCATCTCATGTGGGCACCGGTTCGAGTCCTGGCTGCTCCACTTCCAATCCAGCTCTCTGCTATGGCCTGGGAAAGCAGTGGAAGATGGCCCAAGTCCTTGGGCCCCTGCACCCATGTGGAGACTTGGAAGAAGCTCCTGGCTCCTGGCTTCAGATCAGCGCAGTTCCAGCTGTTGGGGCCAACTGGGGAGTGAACCAGCGGATGGAAGACTCTCTCCCTGCCTCTCCTTCTCTGTATAACTCTAACTTTCAAATAAATAAATATATCTTTAAAAAAAACTTAATAAGGTAAATGTTAACACAAAGTGAAGAGTTCAATTCAAGTGTTCATTTACTGGTTTATCCATACAATGAACATTTAATGAGTGCCAGCATCTTGCTAAGTGCTAGGGAGAGAATAATATGAAAATTAAATAAAAGATATGTTCCTTGGTAGACAACAGACCTACATCAAAAGGATCAGGCAAAAATACATAAACCTGTACTTGAAATAAGAACTGGAAAACAGAGACATGATGCTGTGAGAATTTATGACTGCTGAGGACAGCATGGCCCCAGCAGGCTTCCCCGACAAAGGTATCCACGGACTAACACTGCCTGTGCAAAGACTGAGGTGAGCGTGGCACAGCCAAGAAAATGAACGGCCAGTGATTCAGGCACATGGGAGAGTAGGAACCCAGTCCAAGAGGAGGCTGGTAGGGCCAGACCACACAGGGCCCAGCGGCCCACATTAAGCACTTCGATTTCCATCTTATGAGCAAAGGGAACCCACTAAGGTGCTTTAAGCAGGGTGGGAAAGGAAAACGGGACTAGATTTGCATGTTGAAAAGATCGCACTTGCTGTGGTGTTCAGGAACTGGGCAGACAGCCAGGATGAACACAGCAAGACTAGTTAACTGGCAAGACTAGTCCAGCCGAGATGAAAAGCAGCTGAGAGAGGCTGACGCTACGGCTACAGGGAAGCAGGCACTGTTAGATGCTTTGCTTGGATGTCCCTCCATGCTCAGAGCAACACCATGAGAAAGGTACTGTTGGTATCTCCACTTTGCAAGAAAGCAAGCCTTCCAGGGGTTAAATATCTTCTCCAAAGCTAGGCAGCTAGTGGAGCCAGGAGTCAACCAGGCAGCCTGACCTCTAACCCACTCTCAACACTGCTGCAAAGGAGCAGGAGCCAGGGATGGGCTGGATATGGGGGCGAGCAGAGTGGAGTGGGCAGGGAAACAAGGATGATCAGGATGACCCTTGACTTCTGGTTTGTATTAACAGACTGAACGGCACACTGTTACAACAAGTTCTGGGAAGACCAGGGTAGAGGGGAAGGAGCATGTGTTGCATTTTGGACAAATAGGGTGGCTTTGGGGCATTCCAGTGGGGGATAGTCTTCCCAGGGGATGTTAACTCACTAGTGGAATACACAGATCTGGACTGGCTCTCAGAAGCAAGATCTGAGATACAAATTCTTGCCTCATCCAAACAGACGTGGGAACTGAAGCTGTGAATACAGCCGCCACAGAACAGGAAATGAAGGATTCCTATGGTTACTGTCCAGAGAAAGGGCGGCAGTGTGCACGGGAAACAGGTGGACCAACAGAAGCAGGAGGACAACCAGGAGTCCCGTACCCCAGAAGCCCAGGGGTAAGCATGAGGGAAGGGGACGTTTAAAGAGGAGAGACTGCCAACGCCCTGGCACTGGGCAAAGGTTACCAAAGATGAACAGTCGGGGGATTTAGCGCCCATGACAAGACCTTTTCGATGGAAGGGGGTTGAGAAGGGAGGCTGTAGCGCTGTGGTTTCTGTTCCTGTTGTTCCTAACGACAGGGAGCATATGTAACCCCCACGGGAAGGCGTCAGGAGACCGGCAGTAGAGTTCATTCACCACTTCATTTTATGCTTGGGGTTGGTTCATCCCACTGGGAGAACGGAAGCCAGGGCCCCCAGACCCAGCAACACTAAAGCTTTTGACAAATACTTTACAGCCAAGCGCCAAAGCCTTGGGTCCAAAGACTTCCGACTGCCGTGAAGTCGAAGCAAGCAAGGGGAAGGCCAATTCTTCAGAGAGCAGGGGCAAGGAGGAGACGGACAGAGGCTCAGGCGAGGCCGGGGCGGGGGTGGGGGTACTGCGAGCCGGACAAACACTCCGGGCAGAAGGGCTCGGGGCCCACTGGCTCTCCGGCGGGGGGCCCCAGCCCTAGCAGGGAATCCGGCCATTCGGGGCAGTCCTCCGCCGGGCCGGACCCCTGTGCTGCAGCTCTGCAGCCGGAGCCCTCCATCCAGAGAGGCCTGGCGAGGACGAAGCCCCTCCCGTGGCTGCACCCTAGTCCACAGCACGCCCGGGTGGGTCGACCCGGCGCGCCCGGAGGCTGCTGCCCCGAGGCGCGGCGGCGGCTGGGGAGGCCAAGTCTCTGGCTGGCTGTGGGCACCGGCCAGCTGCCCGGGCGGAAGCGGCCGCTGACCCAGCCCGGGCACTGCCCGCCGAGACCGGCTCCGGAAAACAGGAAAGCCCGGCTGGCTGGCCCAGCCCTCCGGCCCCCGCCCTCCCCGCGGCAACTCACCATTTTCCTTCCGGCCGTCAGCAGCCCGTCGCCTTCTCTAGGTCCCTTTAAGAATGGCACGGCGGCCGCCTCCCTTCCTGCCCCGGCGCCAGACAGATTCGCCCCCACCTATCAACGCGGCCTCCGCCACCGGCACGTGACGGCGACGGCAGGCGGCGCGGCTCAAAATTATGCAGAACGCGAGCGCCTTTCTCTTCTGGGGGTGGGGTGGGCAGGGGGGGATGCCCTGGCTGTAAGTGAGGGACGCTTTCACGGCGTCTCCTTAAAACCCGCTCCAGGCCTCGGTCACTTTGAACTCTTCAAGCTCTGAGAGTGAATTCATGATGAAAAGATTTAAGTCAGTTATTTCCATGGTAAATGGGAAAGCCTCCCTTGCCCATCTGATCACCCCCAAATCTAGGCACACCTCCCTCCCCCGTACACTCTCCGGAACCCCGCCGGCTAGGACTTCGTCGTACATTTCCTTTCCCAGTAGTATGTGTTAACTGAGCTGTGATTGAATGATGGGTGTGTAAGTGAGCGCTCTCTCCCGCCACTGCCGAATTGCTCTTTGACAACCGTGCTGCCATCCTGTACCCAGATGGTGATGACGTGATCCCCATGCATGTTAAAATTCATAGGACTCTACATCAAACGTGGTGAGTCTTACCGTGCATAAATCTGAAATTAAAAATGCTGGAACAGAGACTAAATTGTGGCGGGCAGAGGCAGACGAGAGGAAGGCATTTAGGAAGTTATTGTAGCAGTCCACCAGAAGACATTGCTTGGACCCAGGTGGAATGAACCAGTGATTTGATGAGAAGTGCCTGGGGCCAGTAGAATTTTGGACATCATGGTTTCAAGCCTCAGCAATATTGACATTTAGGGTCAGAAAACTCTGCTGTGGCTGGGCTGTGCCCTGGGGGATGTTTGGCGGCGTCCTGTCCCAGGCCTCCTTACCCTGTAGAGAGCAGTAGCACTTCTCAGGTGACAACAGAAAGGTCTCCCCAGGGCCAGCGCTGTGGCTTAGCAGGAAAGTAGCCGCCTGTGATGCCGGCATCCCATATGGGCACTGGCTGGAAACCTGACTGCTCCACTTCCAACCCAGCTCCCTGCTACTGCGCCTAGGAAAGCAGCAGAAAGTGGCCCAAGTCCTTGGGCCCCTGCACCCAGAAGGGAGACCCAGAAGAAGCTTCTGGCTCCTGGCTTCTGCCGGACCCATCCCTGGCCATTGCGGCCATGTGGGGAGTGGAAGACCTCTCTCTGTTTCTCTCTCTCTCTCTCTCTCTCTCTCTCTCTGTGTGTGTGTGTATGTGTGTGTATTTCTCTGTAACTCTGCCTTTCAAATAAATAAAAATAAATCTTAGATAAGAGAAAACAAAAAGGACCCCTGATGTTGCCGAATGTTCAGGTGGAGGGGAGGATCCCCCCCGCAGTGAGAACCACTGTTATAATGAATGTCTTGAGCTTTGGGCCACAGACTAAATACTCCATCAATAATCAGTTGGGGCTTAGTCGGAGCAGGTTTCAGGTAGCATATATACATACAGATGATGGCAGCCCACCATCTAAGACCGTGAACATTTTTTACTTAGAGGGACTTGGGAGTTCAGTAGCCTGCAAAGGGTTTATGCTGTGACGTTCTGCCCAAGGACTAAACACTTCTTCACAGTTCCTGTCATCGGTGGCATCATATTCCCGTTGTACATTGAGTTCCATTGTATGATGATTGTCTTAAAGTTTGAAACTCAAAGTCATAATACCTGTTATATTCCTACCTAATGCTATTTCCACAATTGAGGTAAATCCACCCTTCTAAGAATGTTGGGTACAGAAAGGCCATTTGAATGAAAGTGTTGGCAGCTCCAAGAGAAATACATAACTTTTAAAAACAGGTTAATGGGGCCAGCTCCGTGGCTCACTTGGTTAATCCACTGCCTGCAATGCCGGCATCCCATGTGGGCACCAGGTTCTAGTCCTGGTTGCTCCTCTTCCAGTCCAGCTCTCTGCTGTGGGCCGGGAGGGCGGTGGAGGATGGCCCAAGTGCTTGGGCCCTGCACCCGCGTGGGAGACCAGGAGGAAGCACCTGACTCCTGGCTTCGGATCGGCACAGCACACCAGCCGTAGCAGCCATTTGAGGGGTGAACCAATGGAAGGAAGACCTTTCTCTCTGTCTCTCTCTCTAACTCTGCCTGTAAAAAAAATGTTAATAGTTTTGCATTTCTCTTATGGGAACCTCTCCTTGGTCAGCCAGAGGTATCTATCAGCCTCAAAGGGTACATAGAACTATGATGTCAGGAATGAGGAAAAGGAAGCAAGCAAGCAAATGGCTTTTGACTTCTAAAGCAGGATTTTTTATTCTGAAGAGACACAGTCATCTTGAAAAAGCCAGACACTATCAAGAGAGGTTTTATAGATTTTTAAATCTCCATTAAGATCTCAAAACCCAAACTTTGGCGATAGTAAAAGCGACATGTAACTGACATCCTGTAGTAGGGAAACTGAGGCAGTGACCTAGGAAGGTGCTTGCCAAGGTGGAAGGAGGGAAGTCTTCCACTTCTGATCTAGTGGAGTCGGGGGTGGGGGGGAGGTGCTTGAGTAAGTACAGCCATCATATCCACCGGTTCTGCCTTCCTGCTCTGCACTGGGATCTTCAAAGGGGGCAGAAACTGTAATGGAGACATCACATAGGTGGGCTACTGGAGAGCCTGAAGCGATTGGAGCCAGGAGTTTGCTTCCCCTCTGTGAAAGAAGAAGCCTAGCATTTGGCACCTTCAACACGGTGCTGGGACAATGGTGTTCAGCAGTGCTAAGATGAGTGTTGGAGGGGATGAGGAAGGAGAACCAGGATGAATGGTGACAAAGAGGAGATTTATAATCCAACTGCAGTGAATGGGAGCTACATCCATTCTTCTCATGCCCCAGGCCCAAGCGAGCCTTGAGTCCTTTATATGTTAGAGACTCTCAGTACTCTTTTAAACGCTTCCTCCTTCTCCTATAAGTAATAGAATTCCATGACTTTTAGCCAGGGTCATGACTACCTTGAACAAAGAATTTTCCCAGCCTGTCTTGCAGTTAAATAAGGGTACAATCCTCGGGTTTGGCCAGTGGGTTGTGTGGTGTGTCCTTAGACAAGGTGGTGTCTCATTTTCCTTCTCCTTGAGCACAGGAATATGGACATGATGGCTGGAGCTGGAGCAGCATCTTGGATCATGGGGTGATCTTTGAAATGGAGACTACATATGTAGAGCACCAGACTATATGTGCATGAATTGCTTCTGGATTTGAGGGAGAGAGAGAGAGAGAGAGAGAAAGAGAAACTTTTATCCTGATTAAGATACTATAATTGTCAGTTTTCTATAGCAGATGCAACCACTTGTAACTAATATTCCACTTCATTAAAAGTCCTTGTTACTATCCTAATCAGAGCTTAGCAATATGTCTCACTTGGCCTTTTGAAAGAATCTATTAATTGATATTCCTAAATTCACTCATATTCTCCTCAACCTGTTTTCTATGTAAGAGCTACAGTGATTGATTGTCAGCCCATTCCCCTCACAAGCATGGCAGTGGCTCCTTGGTGCTTTTAGAGTACATCTAAGTAGTTAAAGTGAAGATTCCTGTGTAGTCTGGACCCTACCTATTTCTCTGTCTTCACCTTCATCTCCTCCTTACTCTCCATACTTAGCCAAACCAGCCTTTCAGTTTCTCAAATGCGTTTGGTTTCTGCCACCCTAGGGCCTTTGCCTGTGCTGCAGCTTTTGCCCTTTGCTCTTGCTCTCCTTTTGGCCCTTTGCATGGTCAACCTCTCCCCATCAGACTTCATCTCAATCACCATTTCTACAGGGAGGCTTTCCGTGATCCACCTGACATTCCCCCCACTTCCTCATTGTAACTCTCATGACTCCGTGCACTTCTTCTTAGCAGCATTGTCATATTTCTGCCTCTATGTTTTGTTCAAGATTCTTTGGATAATTTTTAGCTTTTCTGTAAGGTGACAAGCCCCATTTAAAAAAAAAAAGTGTGCCATATTTTCTTTGGTCATGTATTCCTAATGCCTTCAATAATGCCTGGAACATATTAAACATTTTGTTCCTTTTTTTAAAGATTTATTTGAAAGGCAGAATTAGAGAGAGGGAGAGACAGGTTTTTTTTTTTTATTTAGAAAGCTTTTATTTAATGAATATGAATTTCATAGGTATAGCTTTAGGAATATAGTGGTTCTTCCCCTAATACCCGCTCTCCCATCCCCGCTCTCCTACTCCTTTCCCCATCCCGTTCTTCATTAAGATTCATTTTTAATTAACTTTATATACAGAAGACCAACTGAATACTAAGTAAAGATTTCCACAATTTGTATCCACACAGACACACAAAGCATAAAGTACTGTTTGAAGACTTGTTTTACCGTTAATTCACATAGTACAACACATTAAGGACAGAGGTCCTACATGGGGAGTAAGTGCACAGTGACTCCTGCTGTTGATTTAATAATTGAAACTCTTATTTATGACATCAGTAATCACCCGAGGCTCTTGCCATGAGCTACCAAGGCTATGGAAGTCTTTTGAGTCCACAAACTGCATCAATATTTAGACAAAGGCCATAATCAAAGTGGAAGTTCTCTCCTCCCTTCAGAGAAAAATACCTCCTTTTTGAGACAGAGAGATTTTCCATCTGCTGATTCACTTTCCACATGGCTGCAGTGCCTGGGACTGGGCCAGGCCAAAGTCCGGGGCCAGGACCTCTCCTGGGTGTGTTAGCAGAGAGCTGGATCAGAAGTGGACCAACCAAGACTTGAAATGGTGCTCCTATAGGATGCAGCTCAACCAACTACACCACAATGCTGGCCCCTCAAAAAACATTTCTCATGAGTAAATGAGAGTTAAAGAGTAGTCACGTGCAGATGGCTTGTGAAATTTTTTTGCACCAAAATAATCTTTTAATTCTATTTTCCATGAACTTTTTGAAATACTCAGACAACATGGAAATCAAGAATTTTTGGCAGTGGAATGAAATGTGCACAATGAAAACCCATTTTTGGCTGCATTGTGCAAAATAGGTTGGACAGAAACCGTTTTGAGAGTTGAAAGGCTTCCTCAGCTGTAGCAGACACCCAAGTGGGAAATAAGAAAGGCTGTGTAGGGATCCTGCTTGACAAGACCACAGCCATTTTTATGGTAGCTGCCATCTTGCCCTTTCGGTAACCCTGGCTGTCATCCCAAACCCTGTGGGATAAGCAAAGTCATTACGATAACATGCCAGGCTGATTTGGCCAGGTCAGACCTTGGAATGTCTCTTATCTGATGCCTGGAATGTTATTACTTGAGAAAGTCCAGGTGCGCATAGGTTAGCTGTGAGTCGCCTTTGTCTAGCTTAACCCACATAGGAACACCTCACTCCTGCCGGGAGGTAAGGAGGTCCGTGTGTCTTATGGCCACCCAAGACCCCACTTCTCTTTACAGATTCCCCTGCGAGTTACATTTTGGGTAATCTCAGATTTGTTCCTTCAGTCTCTCCTCATATACCCAATTTTTCTGAAACAAGCTAGCTTTGTGTTAGTTCCTGTTGTTTTTGAGAAACCTCTAGTGTAAATAAAGTTGGGGCTCAGTTTTCCACTGCTGGCTTGGGATTTGGCTTTCACAGCCTGGTTAGTGAATTATCCTTACTGCTCTGATTTCTCATTTTCCATTTTGTTGCTGCAATTATTTTATTTCCTGTTCTTGTTTTTAATTTCTATTTTTAGTATCTTTACTGTAGTCTTAGTGGAATTTGGGGAAGGAACAAAATTAGATATACATATTTAAGGTTACTTGGGAATTCATACATCTTTGCCTCACTATGAAATTTTTTTTTTGTTTTTGCAATAAAATCACTTCTCAAATTGGCCTAGAGTTTCAGTATGTGACAGTAATAAATGATGGCAAAACTAAATGAAAGAGTGGGAGTACAAACTGATACATTTCTGAGAAGCAATGTTTCTCCAAAGTCTGAAAAATGTGAACCAAAGTTCCTCCCTAGTGGTTTATCCTAAGAACATAAGCTAAGGAAGCTCCTTGCAGTTTTATTTTTAGTAATGAAAAATTTTCCAACAATCCACAGCTCATTAAATATGTCAACTTAAACGTGTGCTGAAGAAGCAAACTTCCCAAACAGAATTGCTCCAGAGGTCACTCCTGAGCGGTCACATGTGCAATCATAGGACAAGCTTAGCTCATCTTCCTCAAGCAGGAATTTTATTGGTTTGGGTGTGACACAGACTTCAGTTAACCAGCCATTCTCCTTTTCTTCTTCAGTAATAAAACCCTGATTTGTAGCAAAGGGTTTTGCCACTCAGAATAACAAGACATTTCCTCCATCTCTGCTGGAGCTGGGTGTGGCTTTAGGACGGAGCACCACACAATGCGGTGTCAGTGAGGTGTAATGAGAGACTTCCCGGGAGGCCACCTTGGTGTGGCTGAGTGAACCGCAGACAGAACGCATTGAGCTACTTTCTTAAAACTTAAAAACTTCTGCGTGATTAAAAGAAAAATGCAATTGTTATCTTTAAAAAGGAATATAAAAAAGTTCTCATTTGAGGAGTGTAGGAGAAAGAGGGGAGTGTACGAAAATTGATTTATTTCTAAGAGCATTTTTGGATAAAGCAATTCTGATTTTCCTCTAGGATGAAGTCCAATATGAAAAGACGGACGCGGCTCGTGCAAACGGGTTGAGTAGAGACTCCTTTTTGTGTTTTTACTGTGCTTATTTCTAAGTCTTCTAGAAACACACACACACACACACAAAAACAAGAACAGCTTGGCTTTGTGGAACCCAAGATGCCCGTCCTCCGCCTGCCCAGGCTCTAAGATGCGGCGTTTCGGAATTTAGGAACAGCGCACGTGGTTTTCAGACTGTGCCCCTCTCGGACATCGGAAAACCTGCATCTGCACAAAAGTCGCGAACCTAACTGGCTTCAATTTCTGCTTAGAATTTGCCGGCGAAGCATCGACGACCATTGGGCCAGACCGGCGAGAAGACGCGGGCTGGGTACCCAATCTTGGAAGTCGGGGGCGGTGCGAGCCAGGACCCCGCCCCTCCGCGAAGCCAATAACTCGAGACGGGCGCGGGAGGGGCGTGGCGGGCCTTGCAGGCGCCGTCGTGATTGGCACTTCGGCTCCCGCTGCCCGGGAGGCTGCCCCGACGTCTAGCTCCGGAGAACCCCAGGCGATTGCGGACCTATGAAGTTTGTCCGCTCCGGGGTACCGTAGTGGCTTTTAGCCCGGCCGGGCGGGCGGGCAGGGCTGGCCTGGGCTGAGCTAGGCTGGGCGCCTGGAGGCAGGCTCAGTCCCGGAGACCCTGATGGCTGCGGTGTTTCTGGTGACGCTCTATGAATACTCGCCGCTTTTCTACATCGCGGTGGTCTTTACCTGCTTTGTCGTGACTACCGGCTTGGTGCTAGGATGGTGAGTGGCCCAGGGCTGGGGGCCAGGGAAGGAGGGGCGGACAGCTCGGGAGGGGGGTCGCGGCCAGCAGCCGAGCGCGCTGGGTCAGGGGGCCGCGGGGCTGGGGCGCCTGCTCCCGTCGGGGGAGTCGGGGCCGAGGGCAGGGACGCGCCTCGCGAGGAAAACCAGGTGAGCACCGCACCTGTGTCACTGCCCCGCCTCTCCGGCGGGTCCCCGCCGCTGCGGGCCGGATTCGGGCATTTCACCCAGCTTTGTTGAGAGGTGATAACGCAGCCAGAGGAGGGGCCGGCACTGGTGTGGGGTCAAGTGCCTGTCCGGCAGGTTTCTGCCCCGCGCCAGGCCTGCGGTGTGCGCAGGGAGCCCGGGTCCCCTGTGGTACCACGCACCGAGGCAGGCGGTCAGCCAGACCGGCGATCGTGTTTCTGACCTGAACGGAGCACTCGCTCTCAGCTCTTGCCGCAGAACTTGTAACTGAGCTTTGGGGAGGTAATGGTTTCTGGATAGATTCCACAGCTTTTGTCGTCACACGTAGTCTATAGATAGGACTCTAAAAGGACAATTTCAGGGGCTGGGAGAGACCTGAGGGAGAAGTGACCCTAAGGGGTCGAGGCAGTTGACCTGCTGCCGACAAGGAGAAAGACTGTTAGATAATCCCCGGGGAGTTCTTTTTCTTTTTTAAAAAGATTTATTTATTTTATTTGAAAGGCAGAGTTACATAGAGGCAGAAGGGGAGAGAGAGAGAGAGAGAGAGAGAGAGAGAGAGAGAGAGAGAGAGAGAGAGAGAGGTCTTCCATCCGCTGGTGCACTCCCCATATGGCCGCAACGGCCGGAGCTGAGCCGGTCCGAAGCTAGGAACCAGGAGCTTCTTCCGGGTCTCCCACGCGGGTGCAGGGGCCCAAGGACTTGGGCTGTTTTCTACTGCTTTCCCAGGCCATAGCAGAGAGCGGGGGTCGGAATTGGAGCACCAGGGACTCGAACTGGAGCCCTTATCGGATGCGGGCACTGCAGGCAGCCCCCCCACTCCCACGCCACAGCGCCGGCCCCGCCCCTGCCCCTGGCCAGTTCTAGCCCGGGCGCACCTGTGGGCAGACCTCGGAAATACAGCCGGCTGGCACCTGCGAAAAGATGGTGGCTCCCCATGCGTCCAGCCCTGGTTCCAAGTGACCAGTACTCGTGGGCCTAAAGAAGTCCGAGAGGACTCCGCGGGGGCGGGGAGTCCTAAGCTGGGTTTTGGAGGAGTGATTTGAAAACCAGAGATGAATGTGTGTGTGGTGGAGAAGGCATTTCAGAGCAGACAGTATGAGCCCAGGGGGCCATGTTAATGCCTACACCAGACTTCTTAAAATCAGTTTTAAAACACCCATTGATCCCACGTGATGGGGGTTTCAGAAAGTTTCTGTAAAATGGGATTATAAAATCGCTATTTTGGGGGGGGTGGCCGGTGCTATGGCACAGTGGGTTAATCCTCTGCCTGTGTCGCCGGCATCCCATATGGGTGCCAGTTTGAGTCCTGGCTGCTCCACTTCTGATCCAGCTCTCTGCTATGGCCTTGGAAGGCAGTAGAAGATGGTCCAAGCACTTGGGCCCCTGCATCCAAGTGGGAGACCTGGAAAAAGCTGCTGGCTTTGGATCGGCGCAGCTCTGGCCTTTGCAGCCATTTGGGGAGTGAACCAGCGGATGAAAGACCTTTCTGTCTCCCTCTCTCTGCCTGTAACTCTGCCTCTCAAATAAATAAATAAAATCTTAAAAAAAATAAGATAGCTATTTTGGTACAAAGAAATTCAAAGTCTGTGCATAGGTTTTTCATTTAACATACTTGGCGTGAACTTTTTGAAGGCCCCTGGTTTATCATGACTGTAAAGAAAGGACACAGGCTCTTGTCAGTGTCTGAAAAGACCTAACTTATTTAGGAACAAACCCAGGTTTTCACATTTCCACACTGCTCCTCCCCACCCCCCAGCCGTAGCACATTAACTCCCTTACATGTGGGTGCGGGAAGATGAAGATGAACCTTACACAGTTTGTTGTTCTCAACCCAACAGATTCTATTGCTGTTATTAATTTTAAGAGGGTTTGTAATTGGAATGCGGGAGGTGTTACCCAAGAGAAAAATGGAGTCTTAACACAGGAGTTTTAAATGACCATAATGTTAGTGTTATTCTCTTAAAGCATCCCATTCCTTCCATAAGGAATATAGTTACTTGGTTAATAATTGCATTATATGATTAGATTTTATTTTAACAGGCCAACTAATTAGATACCTCTGCTGTATGTCTACTTTGAGAACAGGAAAATGAGTGGACTCTATTGATAATGACACTGACCTTTGTGGGGGAGGGTTTTCAGGAATGTCATGTGTGTAGTGGGTAAGAGAAGACTTGAAACTGACTTAAATCTTGGCTCTATTAGGTTTCAGACTTAATTTGAATATTTAGTGGTTACCTGGTCACTCTGTGTGGATGATTTTTTTTTTTAAAGATTTATTTATTTATTTATTTTAAAGGGACAGCTACAGAGAAGCAGAGACAGAGAGAGAGAGAGAGAGGGAGGTCTTCCACCCGCTGGTTCACTCCCCAGATGGCTGCAATGGCTGGAGCTGGGCCAGTCCGAAGCCAGGAGCTTCTTCTGAGTCTCATGCTGGTGCAGGGGCCCAAGGACTTGGGCCATCTTCTTCTGCTTTCCCAGCCATAGCAGAGAGCTGGGTCAGGAGTGCAGCGGCCGGGACTCGGACCAGCGTCCGTACAGGATGCTGGCTCTGCAGGCAGCGGTCTTATTCACTATGCCACAGCGCCGGCCCCGTGGGTATAATTTTTACAAAGGTGGAAGTCCAGGTCATTGTAGCACTTTTGGAAGACTGGGCTAAGCACTTCTGAGGCCGGAAGACCAGCAAAGTGCATCCTGATTTGAGCCTGAGGAGTCATTTTGAGCATAATTCCACCGCTCTTCCCATCTGGGTTAGCTCTGCCCACATTGGGTAACTTATTTACTGTGTTTATTTGCAAATCTAAGCTGAGACCACACATTTATTGAGTAGAAAGATGAAAACTTGGACGTCCTCTGCATCTCACAAAGACATCTAATGGTACGCAGCCAGAAGGGTAAACAAATCAATTGCCCGTGCTCTTCAACCCTTGTCAGTTTTTTTAACCTCCCCAATATAATCTGTCCTGGTCATCTGTTCTCTGTTGTGGTTGCTGCGTCATGGCTGTGGGTGATTTCTTTCCCACTGCTTCTCCCCACTGCTCTCTGTGTCTGCCTCATCTCGAGGGAGGGCAGAGAGGGCGGGATCACAGTCACAGCAGAGACTCATGCGCCTGGAAGCCAGCATGGCATTTCTTCTTGACCGCGTGGTGTTCCGTGAGCTCCAATAGCACGTGCGGGTCAGTGTGCACAAAGAGCCCCACGTGCCATGTCCATCCTTCCTGTGTTCAGACGATGGGGGCGCTGCCTGCAGCCACCCCCTGCCTCCTCTCGGCTGCAGGTCCGTGCGCTGCTGTTCTAGCTTCATACCACCCTCCTGCCCTCTGCTTTGGGGATCTGGGCAGATGAACGCTAATCCACCGTGCCCCTTGTGTGGCTTCTGTGAGACAGGCATCTAGAAGGCTAGAAGAGCACAAGGGGCTCCCCGCCTCCTGTTGGCTGCGTGTTCTGTTCTGTCTTAGCATGGCCGTAGAGGTCCACTCCGGCCTCCGGCTTTGTGCTTTTCCACTCCTGGAAGCAGCCTCCTGGGGGACACCTGTATTCTTTCCTCTGACCCACATCCCCACTCCACAGAGCACCCCCGGGGATTTCCGAGGCCGGTAGGGCTCTGAGTTCTGCAGTCACAGAGCTGCTCCCTCTGTCGCGGCTGCTTGGTGCTCCAGGGCCCCCCTTTGCCATTCAGTTCTTCATCTGCTTAGCATTTTTAGTATTAAGCTCTCCCTGTCTAAATAACTGATTTGATTTCAGTCTTTTGACTGATAAAAATATTATTATTGCTAAGAATGAGATACTGGGGTGGAGAACAGGGGAACGGGGGCAGGGGGAGACAGAACCCTCAGAGACAGGACTGGAGCATTGGTTTGGTTATTTATTTAGCTCCTTGCTAATGGGAAGTAGAATTTTTTTCTTTGTTTCTTCTTCTTTCTTTCTTTTTTTTTTTTTTTACAGGCAGAGTTAGTGAGAGAGAGAGAAAGGTCTTCCTTTTTCCATTGGTTCACCCTCCAAGTAGCCGCTATGGCCGGCACACTGCGCTGATCCAAAGCTGGGAGCCAGGTGCTTCCTCCTGGTCTCCCATGCGGGTGCAGGGCCCAAGGACCTGGGCCATCCTCCACTGCCCTCCCGGGCCACAGCAGAGAGCTGGACTGGAAGAGGAGCAACCGGGACTAGAACCCGGGGTGCTGGCATCACAGGCAGAGGATTAGCCTAGTGAGCCATGGCACTGGCCTTCTTTTTTTTTTTTTAAGATTTATTTACTTGAGAGGCAGAGTTACAGACCAAGAGAAGTAGAGAGAGACAGAGAGGTCTTCCATCCACTGGTTCACTCCCAAAATGGCTGCAAGGGCTGGAGCTGGGCCAATCCAAAGCAAGGAGCTAGGGGCTTCTTCAGGGTCTCCCACATGGGTGCAAGGGCCCAAGGACTTGGGACATTCTCTGCTGCTTTCTCAGGTGCATTAAGAGGGAACTGGACCAGAAGTGGAGCACCCGGGACTTGAACTGGCACCTGCATGAGATGCTGGCACAACAGGCGGATGTTTAACCTTCTATGCCGCAGTGCCACCGGCCCCTCTTTATTTCTTTTGAGATTTCCTTTCCTTTTCCTTTTCCTTTCCTCTTCCCTCCCTTCCTCCCTCCCTCCTTCTCTCCTTCCCTCCCTCCTTCCTCTTCCTTCCTTCCTTCCCTCCTTCCTCTTTGTTTCTTCCTTTCTTCCTTCCTTCCCTCCTTCCTTTCTCTCTTTCTCTTTCTCTCTTAAGTTTATTTTATTTATTTAAAGGCAGAGTTACAGAGAGAGAGGGAGAGAG